GGCGCAAAGGCCGGCGGGCCCACACAGGGAATGTCATCCCTCCTGACCCATGCACTGGTGGAGCTAGGAGAGTCTGGTGCCAGGAAAACCATTAGTGCGTGAGATTTCTATTAGGAGCCTGGATTTGAGAATCCACTGGAAGAGAGCCCTGTTCACCATGGCCTTCCAGAGGTTAGTTCACTCCTCTCCCGGGGACTGGGGGACCCGCTTTGCAGCCCTCCGCACAGCCTGTGGCCGATGACCTCAGCTGCTGGGCCCGGTGCTAACGACATGGGTCCTCCCAGCCAGAGGTGCAGTGAAAACTGCTTTGCAGTCAGCAACGGCACCCACCTTCAGCCTCCCAAAACCAGGCCAGCCTTCTCAAAACGTTAACACGCGGGGGTCTCATTTTAGTTCTGAGGGCAGAGAACGCAATGTCTCAGGTGGTGAAGAGGCCACGGTGGCATGCATGAAAGGAGGCAACCGTGGGACCCACCCAATGCACAATCCAATGACAACAAAGCCACGGCCAAAGCTCGGGGCCATGACTCAGCCTCCCCTCCCAGGGCACTGGCTCGGTACAGTCTCGCCAAAACCCAGAGAAAAGGGGTTTAACCTCGGCCACAGCGCTCAGTGGAAAGTTTTATTACTTATGGTTAAAAAAAAAAAGAAGGGGGGGATAGATTATACTTTTGAAAATAACCTGCCTCCCTGTGGGAGGTGGTGGGGTGAGCAAAGAGATGAGATTGGGTGGAAGCGTCCTTCAGGGCCCAGGCTGGCAATGCAAGAATTGCTAGCGCCCATGCCTTCAGAACATCGCCTGGAATTTACGAAGCCGCAGAGAACAGGGAAATAAACGACCACCGCAGCCCAAATCTTCCACCCTGAATAAGTACCAAGAACAACTCCCGAATTGAGGCCATCTGGAGCACTCGGTCCAGGTGGTGAAAGCAGGGAGCTAATGAGGCCAAAGCTGCGGCTCATACTTACACAAGGGCCAAGGGGACACAGACAAAGAAAGCACTGTGCCCGGCCACAGCCAGGGCCCCGCCCAGCCGCCGTCTCACAAATCAGACCTGCGGTGGGTCGCACAGGGGCCCAGAGACACACACAGGGGGATGACTCAGCGTGCACTCTGCCTCATTCTGAGAAACACGCAAAGAACACCTCCTACTGACGCTAGCCAAGGCGTGCCGCTCTGCAGAGAAAACGACAAGCCCGCCTGGCCACCCCTGCCTGACAAGCAGCAGAAAGCTGAAACAAGCTAATTCCATTGCCCTCAAGCCGCAGCTCAAAAGCCACCTCCCTCGGAGGCCTTTCCTGACACCTGAAGGACAGGTGCGACCCACACCTTCTCCCGGCCTCCCACGCTGCAGTGTGCCCGGCCCACGGCGGGTCCAGGCAGGGAGCACTATCTGGTTTCCTCTCTAACTTCTCACTCGAGTTAGGACTGAGTCCACGTGGAAAAGCGCTCTGCTTCTCAATCCTTCCCCCCTACCCCCCAGGACAAGCTTGAAAAGATAATTACTAGGAAAATGTTGGTCTAGATGTCAGACGTGGCCTCTGCCCTTGAGAAGACTGTGGCATCTCAAGACAGTTGCCTCCTTTCGTGAACACCATAGAGGGGACTGGTCCGGGGGCAAAGGCTGGCAGGTGAGGACAGCAGCAGCCACTGCGGACTTGGCCGTCCTCACATGCAGGCATGACCTTGAAAAACCACTTGCTCATTAGACCCTCTCCACAGCTCCCGGAGGCCAGCAGTGCCATCCCTACTGCACAGCTGAGGAATTGGGCTCAAGGACATCAAGTAACCTGCTTGAGGTCACACGGCTTGAGCATGGCAAGGCAGGGGATTCACCCACGTGCTCTCAGCCACACCAAATACTGCCTGCTACGGTAGCAGGAGCTGGAATGCAAAGGTACACACAGATGCAGAGACACCTGTATCCCAACATAGGCGGATTTCTGATGGTGTCAGGAGCTGAACGAGGAGGAGAAGGTTTGGAAAGAGAGAGGAGCATCCAACTCAGGAACAGATTCATCTCAATCACATATTCTCAACAGGGCCTATATTGCCTCCAAACAAGAGACAGGGGCAGATTTCATAGGCTAGGCCTAAGGTGAGAATGGAAATTAAAATCGGTGCAATAGTATGCGTTTTAAGTTATTTGGTTTTGGGAGGCAAGAATACCCTACACTCTTCTGTCTAAAGCAGACACACATGTAAATACATAAGAAGATGCACAGGCAATCCATAGAATTCTGTAGAATTAAAGGTCCACAGAGGGGGAGGAAAGAGGCATAGTTTATAAGGTATAAAGACTAGTGAAACCACACCTGCAGACCCACCACCAGCTTAAGACAGCCTCTCTCAGTGCTTAAACAGCCCCAGGCATCTCCCCTGCTTTCTATCCACTTCCCTTCCCAACCAGATGCTACCACTATCCAGAAATTTTAATGGTTCATTTTTCACTGTAGTTTTGCACATCATTTAGTTTGCACACTTCTGAGCTTTCTATACACAGAATCTTATCTGATACATTTCTCTGCAACTAGCTTTATTAGCTCAATGGCATGATCCAGGAATTCATCCATGTTGATAAATATAATTCATTCCGTTTCATGAGATGGATTCAACTCCAGTTTACCCACTTCCCCGTAATCAATGCTTAGACTGCTTCTGGTTCCTTCATTATCACAAACATCACTGCAATGAACATCCTGGCTAACGCCCCCTGGTTGGCAGAAGAGATTCTCCGGGGAGTTTCTCACGATCAGCAGTGGTAGCTGTGGGGCGGATGCCTATTTGAGTTTTCTAGGTAACATGTTAGTAAGCAGTTACAGCAATATATATTCACACCCCCTGTGAGTTCAGGTGTCTACTTGATGTTAGGGGATTTTTGTTTTCTTTTTGCCAAACTAGAAAGTATGAAATGATTTATTATAGTTTTAAGATGCTTTTGCCTGATTACTAATGAAGTTGAACATTTTTTCCTAAGTTTATTGGTCATTTGTGTTTCCTCTTCTGAAAATTCCTCTTCATCCCTTTACCATTTTTCTATTAAGTAATCTTTTTCTTATCAAGTTTCTTTCATATATTCCATGTGCCAATCCTTTGTCAGTTTGCAAACATTTCCATCAGTGATTGCCTTTTTGCTTTTTTTATTGTCTCTTTTGCTGAACACAAATTTTAATTTAACTATGTTAATTTTAATATAAAACTATCAATGTTTTCCTTTGTAATTATTACTTTTTATGTCTTGTATAAATAAGAGAGCTTTCTCTACCCCAAGAGATATTCTATATAATCTTTGCTAAAATACTTTTGGCTTTCATTTTAAGTCCTTAATGCTCCTTGAAAATTGCTATGTACAGTATGAAGTATTCATTTTTTAAATATGGCTAAATGATTGTGTCGGCACAACTGAATAATTCATATTTTCCACCTAGACCTGAAGGGCCAACTCTGTCAAATCACATTTCCATCTATATGTAGTTATTTTCTAGATTATATTCTGTTCTATTGGACTATTTGTCTATCCTGGCGCCAATATAACAACATCCTAATTTTTATGTCTTTATAATATGGCATAATACCTGGTAGGGTATATCATCTGATTTTGGTATTAATCTTATGCCACCTTCATTAAAATGATTGAGAATGTTCCCTCTCTTTTCTGAAAAATCCTGCAAAAGATTCAAATTATGTATACTTTGGATGTTTAGTAGTATTGGTTTATTAGACTAGTGGGTTTTTTACAAATAGATTTTTAACTGATTTTCATGGTTACAGTATTATTCAGTCTTTCTTTTTTTTTTTTTTTTTTTTTTTTTGAGACAGAGTCTCACTTTGTTGTCCAGGCTAGAGTGAGTGCCGTGGCGTCAGCCTAGCTCACAGCAACCTCAAACTCCTGGGCTTGGGTGATCCTTCTGCCTCAGCCTCCCGAGTAGCTGGGACTACAGGCATGCACCACCATGCCCGGCTAATTTTTTATATATATATCAGTTGGCCAATTAATTTCTTTCTATTTATAGTAGAGACGGAGTCTCGCTCTTGCTCAGGCTGGTTTTGAACTCCTGACCTTGAGCAATCCGCCCGCCTCGGCCTCCCAAGAGCTAGGATTACAGGCGTGAGCCACAGCGCCCGGCCATATTCAGTCTTTCTTTATGAATCAGTTTTGTTGTTGTATTATCTAGAAATTTGTTTTGCCAAAGTTTTCAAAATCATAATAAACTTGTACATAATATCCTCTTATTTCATCTCTGTAATATCTATGGTTTCCATCCCTAATATTGGTTATTTGTGCATTCTTTCTTGATCCATCTTGTCATTGGTTATATCATTAATTTCTGCTCTTTTGTCCTTTCCTTTTTTCTTTGCTGTTGTTTTTTTTTTACTGTTCTTTTCTAAGTTGTATGCTTATCTCGTTAATTTCAGCCTTTCTTCTTTTTAAATATAAGTATGTAGGGTTATGGCTTCCAATTAAGTAGCCTCTAGTTGTATCCTACAAATTTTGATAGCTAATATTATTTTCCATTCATTTTCTAATTTCTAGTAAGTTTTCTTCTTTGACCTGTGAGTTATTTAAAAGCATGTTTTCTTTTTTAATTTCTAGATGACTTAGAGTTTTCAGGACATCTTATCATTATTGTTTTACAACATAATTTCACTGGGATTAAAGAAGTTAACCTATATAAAACACATCCTTTGAAATTTGTTGAAAGTTACTTTATGGTCTAGTAGGTGGTCAATTTGTATAAATATTCTATGTGTTCTTAAAAAGAATGTGGGCTCTCTAGTTCAATGCAACCACTTTTATATATATGAATTCTTCACATCAAGCTTATTACTTGTTTTTTTCCTTATTGGACTTTTTTACTCCATAGGAAATCACCTCACATCTTTTTCCAGGCTCCCAAGGCTAATATCCACGTCTTCTGATTTCTAGCTCAGGACCCTTTCTTCACAAAAAGCAAAGGAGAAGGATATTTAAAAAAGGAAAGAACACACATAATCGTACCTTCCTTGCAAGCAGGGTGGCCATCTGAGACACTGCCACGTGGCCAAGGAGAAGCCACACCAGCCACTGCTTCCCCCATTCCATCCAGAAGCTCCACTCAAAGTCAGTTGGATCCTAAATAGATCAAAGCAGGAGTTATCAGAAGGATTTTAGTACACGTCTGAGTCAGAACACAAACTCCAGTCAACAGCCAGAAAGGCCAACGCGAGTCCAAACTCTGTAAAACAGCACTTATGCACTCCAAGTCCTGTCCCTACCCACCCTGTAACTCTCCCCTCCAGCTTGCTGGCCTCATTGCCATTCCCCAAATGCACCTTGTCATTTCCACAACACAGTGTCTTTCTTTAAGCTGACCCCCCAGAACCCTCCATGGCATAGAAACTTATTGTCTCCATTGTGTAAAACATAACACAGAGGCTTAGGAACTCAATTTGTTTAGCCATGGTCACATGGAAAGTACAAGTAACGAACTGAGACTACCGCAGATTAGACACCTAGATACTTTCACTAACAAGAGAAATGAAAGTTGGATACTAATAAAATTCCTTAAGGTCGATCGTGTTAAATCTTGCTGTCATTTGTAGGCAGCAGGATAATTTCGTAGAGAAATTAACTAATTTCATATAAACTTACAATGCAAGAAAAGATACACTCTGGGTCCAGGCAGCACTCCATGTCTACACTGGTACCAGGTTCCACATCTATGAAGCTCCTGGGCAGGAGCAGGTGCTCTGGCAACAGTGGCCACGTGGACACCTGGGAACGGACACCTAAATGCTGCGGCCCCAGGAGCCCCAGGGAGATCATGGCGGCAGAGCTGAGCATGGGGAGCACACACACAGTGACCGGCCACACTGAAAGGGGCCACGCAGGCTGGGTGCATCTCAGCACCACCTCGGTGGAGCGAGGATTTGAGGCCTCACAATTTTCTAAGCAAAATGTGTGGGCGGGAAGGGAATCCTACAATGGCTATTGATGCTGAAACCCTCACCAATCTCTGCAAGTGGAACTTGGATGGAGCCCCACTCAACTGGAGTTAGAGGAAAACATGGATTTTTCTTGTACCTGAGGATTGTGGGCAATTCATATCAGTTACATATATACTAAAACTCTTTTGTTCAGCAGAAAAAATTGACCTTGACCCATATCAGACTATGAATGCAGAGGTAGCAGGACTAGCAGCTGAGACTTGAAGCTGGGTTTGGGTCCCAGATCTGCCCACAGCCTGGCTGCAATGACCTTGAACATGATACTTAACCTTTCTGTTCTGTTTCTTCATAGACAGTAGTACTTCTGGAGATTTTTTTTTTAGCTTTAAATAAGAGCATATATATGTGAACTAAAATGCTCCCCCCACCCCCCACCGGCTGACTGAATGGACTCCCTCGTGGCCAAAGGAATATTCAAGGGCAAAGTTGCCTGCCAGGAGGAGGGAGGTCAGACAGGCCTTATCATGCCCCCCTCCCTTCTTAGAGACTTCCTTTATAACCCACTAACAGGCCTAAGGGTACAAGACAAACCTGCAGGCCCTCAATTTGCAACAAATAGTGGTTTATCTCTGGTAAACAGTTTATGTTAACACATTCCAGGTCTTTAGACAAAGCTTCTTCGTGTCTTTAGCCAATCTTTAAACCCACCAATAACCTGTAAGCACCCCCCCCTTGGAGATGGCCCTCCTTTTTGGGCCAAACCAATGTATGCCTCCCACACATTGATTGATGGCTTTACCCATAACCTTTGTCTCTAAAATGTATAAAAACCAAACTGTAACCCAGCCACAGCGAGTCCACTTGCCCAAGGCCTCTTGGCAGTGGCTCTGGGTCATAGTCCTCAAATTTGGCTCAGAATAAAATCTTTTGCAGACTTTGGCTTTTTTTTCTATTGACATATACATCGAAAGCTTAGAACAGGGCCCAGCACACAGCACTCACTAAAGCAGGAGTACCTGCACTAACTGCTACTCCTATGTGCTTCCTGTCCTTTGTTAGCCACCAGCCAAAACTGTATGCTTTACTTTGTGCCACTTGTTAAAAAAGGTTTCCCGTTTTCCCAAATAAAGAAATCCAAGACCGTGCATTCTCACATAACACATGCTCCCCACACCTCAAGATCCTGATACGCACACAACCTGCTCAGAGAGCCCCTGGCCCCTTCTAGGGACAACTACACCAAGACCCGGGATGTGCCCACAGCTACACGGCGGCGGCAGAGCAGGGATCTCAAACCCTAGACCTGGCTCCTCCTTCCTGATCCACAGCTTACTCCCCCATCTTGAGATTTCCAAGTTAGTGGAGAGTCAACTAACCGAATAAAGGTAAAAGAAAGTTCCAAGGTCACGTGGCGATGCCATGCAAGTATGAATTAAATGCCACTTTTGTTAACAGGGATACAGGTAAAAAGACACTAAAAGCCAATACTGAATTTTTTTTGAATACCCCACTCAAAAAAAACCCCAACATTTCAGCTTTGTAAATACCATGTTTTTTAATACAAAGAATAACATTTGGAATTCATGACCCCAGGCTTACCTCTGCCTCGAGTGCCTTGAAGTTTAATTTTTAATTTTTTTTTTTTAAGGGAGAAAAAGGATATAACACAACCAAAAAGGCTCTGCTCCACCAGAAGGCTCAGGACTACCGAAAACTCTGTGCTAGTAAAATCCCATAGTCAAAAATGACACATGGTCTTTCACCACTAATTCTTTTAGAAAATATTTATTTAAAGGAAATAAAAAAACATCTCCCTCATGTCTATTGTCATGAGGGAGATTTTTTAATTTATCCTTCTCAATAAAATAGTCACCTGAAGGAAATGACCAGGCAGAAATGCTGATCAAGTGGATAGAAGATGACAAGTGAGTGATATGGGTGAGAAAAATGCTGACTCATTGCTTCTAGAAGCAAAAGCTTTACAGACTCCAAGTTCAATCACACATTTCAAGGCAAACATTAAAGCCTCAGGTCAAGGACAACTTCTCCAAGTTGTGTACCTTCTCCCATTTCCTACTTGTGCCATGGTTCTTAGTCAACTAGAAACGTCTTCAGCACCGTAATGGGGTCAGATAAAAAAGGGGTATATCCTGGCCAGAAAGAGCCAGGAGGGCTCCCCCATGCAGGAAGGGGAGGCTGCATGCTCAGAGAAAGTAATCCACAGCCAACCTGTTATCAGGGCTTGTCACACTTCAAGGTGACCCATGTATAAAATGCAGATTGTGAAGCAGTAGATCTGGGGTGGAGTTTAGGATTCTGCATTTCTACTAAGCTCGCAGATGATGCAATGCTACTGGCCCGGGGACCACACTTTGAGTAGCAAGGATGTACACCACTAATTGCGCCTTTCTATAGCTGAATGTTCGTCAACTCAGAGAACCCCTACCGGCTCTGAAACTGACCACCTAACACTCGCCAAGGGAGCACTCATCATCCTGTTCAACCTTGAAAGCTCTGAGCACTTAGATTTCAGAATTCACTGGACTGGATAGAAAGTAACAAATGGGGTTGTTTAGTCTGGGGCTTGCAATCTGCACCCAGGCGACACTCAGAGCTGGGAGGGGCACAATAGTTCTGGATCTCTTAAACCGTAACTGACTTCCTGGCGAAACACTGTTTTTTTCCTGTGCTTAAACAAAGGGAGTGGGCCTGACGTTCTTAGCTGCCTCTTTTCCTACACCCAGCAGCATCCTACCCTAGGCTAGAAACGCTGCGTGGGGAAAGAGAGCTCCACAGCAGGAGGTCTAGCTGGGAAGACCCCTGGCCCGAACGCCACTGGACCGCACAGCCAAGACACACTGAAAACCAGCAACAAGGCAGAAGAGGGGACAGGGGTACAATCCAACCTCACAGACAGTAATAGCAACACTGACAGAGGCCTTTCCTTTCTCCCCATACGATCACTGATGAACACTCTGGGCATGTGTTTTCTAATTACAACCTCAATCATACTTAAAGTAGTTTAATTAATAGATTTTTCTCTTTCAGAGCAGTGTTAGGTTCACGGCAGAATTGAGCACAATGTACAGAGTTCCCATGTCCCTACACGTGCACACCCTCTCCCGCCAGGATGGAGCATTTGCTACAACGCATGAACCTACATTGTCCCATCATTGTCACCCAAAGTCTGTAGTTTACATTAGGGTTCACTGTTGATCGTGTACATTCTGTGGGCTTGGACAAACATGTGACAACATGTATGCACCATTATAGTACCATGCAGAGCATTAATTGTCTCTCTGCCCTATGAACCCTCTATGTTCCGCCTGTTCATCACTCTCCCCTACCCAACCCCTGGCAACCACTCATCTTTTTACCATCTCCATAGTTTTGCCTCTTCCAGAATGTCCTATACTTGAAATAAAGTAGTTTTGGTTTTTGTTTTTTAATTCTATGTTATAGATGAGTTAACTGGAGGTCAAAGAAAGCAAATTATTTGCCCAGACCTAGTAAGGGGCAGAGCTGGGTTTCAAGCCAAGGCCTATCTGATGCCAACGAGGAAAATCTTTTCTAAAGATGTTTCTACCTGCCCTGGTCCCTCTACCTGAACTGCCCCTCTCCCCTACCGCACCCTCCCACACACACACAACACTACCTGACCAAATAATCTCCATCCTAGAAGGTGCCTCTCATTAATATGCCCATAACCACAAAGCCAGCATGGTGACATGCACAAAATAAGTACTCAATAACAGGCACAATTCAAATGTCAGCTCAAGACTGACATTTCCCACCCCACCCCTCTTCCACCCCCTTTTCTCTGTCATCCATACCTCAATTCTAGAACTTTCATTGTAGCATATTACTTTTATTCATGTATATTCTCTCCTGGAGAAAAATGGTGAGTTCCCTGAGAGCAAGAATCTTCACCTACATCCAACCTGTATTAATGATGCCCAACATTCAGGAAACCTCTGAATGGTAAGGCAGGCGGGAGAGGGCAGAGAAACTGGTGGCCTCAGTTCTCGTCCCATTTCTGCCTCTGTTAAAACTTGGGCAAGTCAGTTAACTATCTGGACTTGAGTTTCCTTGTTTGTAAAATGAAGAGTTTGAACTAGCACAATGTCTAAGATTCCTTTCAGAGAGTAGGAAAAAAACAGTATTTCTCTCCTTTAGCCTGGGAAA